TTGTGCTTATGGCAGCATCTGTTTTTCACTCTGCTCTTCCTCAAGGCAGAGGACTAACATGACACTAAGGGCTACTCTTAAACCTTCCTGGGGAAAGAACTTGTGCTCAGTAGCTGCGCACATGATTGGGGTCAGCCTGAAATTCAGTGCATTAAACTGGAAGTGGCACATCCAATGCTGTAACAAAACAGTAAATCCCCAGAAACCAGAGAAAAGGATGCAACCATTCCTGGTCAGAACCCAACCTTAATGGAGAAGGGAGGTTACTGTGTGACAGGAGCCTCCTTGCAGTGGGATTAGACCCTGCCTGAATGCTCTGTGGTTTGGGTTGTGGGTTGGTCCAATTAGCAGAATGCACAAGGAGGGTTTGACAAGTCTTCTCCTCTTTCGTAGAAGGTATTTATTTCAAATTACTTTTTTTTTTTTTAATCTTTTTTTGCATTTAAAAAGCAGAATTATTTAGAGCTAGGGTTTTTGTCTTTTGGGTGACTTATCAGTCATTATGTGCTAAGAGAACTTGTTCCTGGGATTGCTCTGTGTTGTGACCATAGGAAACACTGTGTGTTTAAAAGTTGCTTAAGAGTTGCTGTTATGGTCCCCGTTCTCATTTGCCTGTAACTGTCAGATTACCAAAGTAGGTTGAACTCTCTTATGTCAGTGCTTGACCCGTTATGTTGCTGTTTGCTTGGGTTTACAGGCAGCCACTGTGTTTCAGCAATCTTTGAAAATGAACTCTTGGGAAAATGTCTCTCTGGCTCTGTGCCCTCCTCTTTATGAAGCTGCAGTTCCCTCTCGTGGTACGTTGGGTGGGAAGTCTTCCCCTCTCTCCACACTCCTGTTTGCAGGGTACCTGCAGAACTGCTTTGTCCCAAGGGGGGAAAAGCACCTGAAAGAGTTCATCCCTCTCAAGCTGCTGTTCTGAGATGGGCACTTTGTTTCTTCACCTGAAGGTGTGTGACAGGGAAATGGGACCTATACCTGGGGACACAAGGGCGTATGGACTTTCCTTAATGACCCTGCCAGTTCCCTCTACATCATGCTTGTACCTGCATGCCTCTGAGTGCTGTCTGGATGACATTGCTGGGTTTGTAAGCAAAGCAGTGACTCTCAGCTACATACCAGGGAATCAGTGTGCAGGTGGCTTCTGCTTCTGACTTGAGACTGGCACACAGACCAGAGAACTTTTGAATCCTGCCATGTTGGTGATGGGTAACAGTCTGGTACCTCTGCTGCTCTTTTCATTGCTCCAGGACATTGAGATCAATCCTGTAGCAAAGATCTTTGTTTTAGTATTGGAGTTTTATCTCTGTCCAACCTGCAACTCCTACTGCAAGCTGTGAACCCACAATTCATACATGTTTGGTGGAGACTCTCAAGGACTCTGCAGCCAAATTCCCTTAAGTTGGTCATTGCATCCAGAAGACAAAAGTGAGAGCAGCCAGACTGCTTCCAGGGTTCTCCTCCTCCTCTCACAGCCTCAAAACAGCAAGTACCGGGATGAGAGGGGTGGGTTCTGATCAAGAAGGGCAAATCCCTACAGATACAGTGCTCTGTGATGGCAGTAACACTGAAAATGTTGTGCTGTATCTATCCGGTACTGCAGAAATAACAGATGTGCAGCAGTAATAAATTAGCTAAACATATAATTAGAGATCTGTAGAACAGAGTGATTAAGAGATAATACTGCTTTCTAGAAGTAATCTCTGAACTAATACCTAAATCTAAAGAGAGAAGTGATTTCTGAATGCAGTCATGAATTATGCTGCTGTGACAAGACGTTATGCCCTGTCTCAATCTGTTTCATTCTTAGAGGCGTGCTTTGCATAAACTAACAGAAATCACACTGGTTATAAAAAAACCCCCTAAACCACTAAATGCTACCCTTTATGTAGGACCTCATCACAACCTTACATATTGATAGAAATGTAATTCTGTTTGTCCATCAGAAGTTTAAGGACATTTTCTTACGCCTGCACTCACAATTCCACTTACATGTGGTTTCAGGAAGCCTAATGTAACAGTCAGATTAAGTGCTTTCTTGCCTATGGCTATTTTACTGGAAATCCTGGTAATGAAAACCTCAGAATAGGCATTTGTGTCAAAAAAGCATGTTTTCAGTGCTTCCACCCTGGAAAGGGATGCAGTAAGAGTGTGTGTTTCTCTTCTATTATTGATTATTTATTGTAGTTCTCACTAGAGGATAGAGGACTAAGATACTCCATCTCAAAATGTCAAACCTTAACCTTTGTGCAAACCTTCTGAAGTTCAGCAAGCTATGTGAAAATGGGCCACTGTGATTGAATAACGTTAATGTGGAAATAGTTAACTCCCACACAAGACCATTTCACCATCTGCACCATGGTTTGGGTCTGCAATGGTTTCACAAGTCTGTGACGCTTGTGCAGATTTTGTGGTGGTTCTTCTGTTTATAATTAGTACTGTACTTAAAGAAACATCTGTACAGGAATACATGCAACAAAACATTGATACACAGATGCAGATGCTAAAAAGATAATTACACTTTTGTGCTGAGCATTTAGCTGCCTAGACTGACTTCACACCCTGTATCCATCATTGCTTTCAGAGGCAGATTCTTATCCCAGGAGCTTGCTTTCTTTTCTCCCAGGTGGTTCTATTGCATCTGGTTGTATTAAAACACATTTTGTGACTATGCAATTCAGATCACCTGTAACACTGACCTACTCTCCTTATTACCCTATGGCTCCACATCCTTTAATGTTCTCTGTCCATTCTACTGTCACAGATTTTTAGCATCACAGCTTCTTCCCTGCACCCCTTTCTCCTCCTGTGAGCTCATCTGCTGCTCCCTTCTGTGTCAAACCTTTGTTCTCATTCTTCTTCTCTTCCCTAAACCTCTGCTGTGTTTTCTCTCCTTCTAAGCTCATGCTGCTTAAGTTTCCACACGGTACCTGGTGCTGGCACTTCCTTACCCCCCTCTCTGAACAAGTGCTAGTCATGGGTTCTAAACTGGCAAGGTCAACAAAAGCTGCCACATACTGTATGTACCTTGACTGTTGTGCTGATGCAATTCACTGAATAAAAAGTGCCTCTACATGGATGGCATGGATTTAAAAAAAAAATTACCTCCAACAACCACCCCAAACCAACCCATCTAGAACTATGAACTAATACTTACAATCTTTGCTCTGAGTCAGCCAAGATTTGCAATCATACTAGTTTGTAACAACAGCTCCCACCCATGCCCAATCCCCAAGCATTTTTTTCTTCCTTAATCATCCCAAATTAACCCAGAACTATTGGGTTGTTGTAGTAGTAGTTAACCACTTGGCTTAGGCTTCCTTGGACTGTCTCTCATACCCTCTTTCATCTTTTACCTGAAGTTCATTGCTGCTTTCAAACATACTCTGGTTTTGCAAGACTCTTATAAAGTATTATTAATTGCTCTAGTCCATCCTGCTTTCTTTCTGATATAGCCTAGAATAGTCCATTTTAGCAGACTGGCTACATTATCTTCTCCCTGAGGGCAGTTTAAAGCCCCTGGCCTAACCCCATGAGTTTATGTTGGTGGCCCTAATGAGCAGCACTGAGCTAGAGGATATCAAAACTTCCATCCCCACAGTGCTCCTGTCTTGTGCTCTCCAAACATTTCCCATGTAGCTCTGTCCCAACCATCAGCTGCCCTTACATCTGTAGCCTCATCTTGTCTTCTTCAATGGGCAGGGCGGTTATAAATAGACAAGGAGATAGATGAAGTGGCTCAGATTCCTCAAAGAGGTCAGCATTCACACTTGAGGCCAGAGCCAACAGTCTGCTTTTAGTCTCTTTATTTTACAGTGCTTGGCCTCAACATACTTAACCACATTCAAAACTGAGTCTAAAGGTTGCAGTGAGTATATCTACAGATATGACCCAAATCGGGTCGTGATTACTTATGAAAATCTCACTGAGTTCAACTGTAACGTTTCTGCTTGTAGTGGAGCCAAGTTTACAGTATCAGCAACATCATGCCAAAGCAACTGATACAGAAAAATATGCTCAATGCATTTTTATTTTTCTTCCTGCTCTGGGTAGGGTTAGGCAAAAGAGTAAGGGAGGCATTACAGCATGTATTGCCAAAACCCAAGCAAATATATTTTGAATTTCAAATGCATGTTCCACCAGAAAGGGATGTTCCAGGTGGGATGCCTGCTATCAGTTTTGGTAAAAGCCACGTTAGTGCCCTGGCAACGAGTGTGGGTACCAGAACCTCAGTTTATTTCTGGCTCTGCATCTGATGTAGTCCATGTGCCCAGATGAGTCATTCCACTCCTCTTTCACTTTCTTTTTCTGTGAGAAGGGCTTTAGTATCTTTGGAAAATGCTTTGAAATTGATGATCAAATGCCTAATTGATAATCATCTTAAAGGTGTCCTCAACAGGTAAAGAGCTCACCTCAATAAATGTAAATATGCCATAAGAAGACTATTAGCTCAGTCAAAAAATTAGCAAATAAAAATAAGCATGATCCTCTGAAACCACTGATTAGTTTGATCCATTTTCAGTGGTGAATTTGTAATCCTGGTCAAAGTTCTGAAACTAAACAATTTCTTACAACAGTTAGTTAAAAGTAGGAATGGATATTTTTTTTTCAGCAATAAAATCTTCCCTGAGGTTGCATTATGAAAGGTAATGGCTTTGATAGGTAACAGTCTATAGAGATACAGGGGCTACTATTATATAGCAGGAAATTCCAAACAAAGCTGTTATGGCTCCTCCTCACATTCCTTTTAAAAATAAATACTGTACTTCTACTAAGGAAAAATACATTTGAGTATTTACATAGTGTAATCTACAACAAACAATTTGGGAAGACAAGTGAAAATGTAAATTTTTGCAAATAAAAAACTCATGGTGTAAAGTGTGTTAAAATGGCTGGACTCCAGTTGCTCATATAATGAAATTTAGCCCATTGTAAAATGAAAAGTGACTTGAAACTTAATTTTCTTATTTTTTTCTTTTTCCCCCTTTCTGTGTGTTTAGAAATGCTGAAGTGATACACACTGACAATTTGGACATTTTTCAAGTTGAGAAATTAATCAAAACCAACATTTCCCTGCAAAGGTTTCATTTTCAACCAAGCAGGCCTCTTCTGATTAAAGAAGTTGCATAAAAATTCTTATTCATCTCTGCGCAGGAGCACTGCTGTAGCTGTTGGGTGAGTCATATCTGTTTTAGAGACAACCTTCATAGTAACCTAAAGATGCTGTTTTAAGAATCCTTATATGAGTACTTTTGCCTGCACAATCCACTTGGCCCCGGGGCAGTGCCATCCCAGCTGTAGAGAGGTCGCCTGTGTTTGTGGGCACCAAACCAAGGACACGTGTGAGCCACTTTTGAGGAGCAAGGGCAGAGATGGCCCGTTTGCCATCCTGTGCTGAAAAAATGAGCCCTGCAGCAGGTTCCCTGCAGCAGCTCCCTATGTGGACAGGAGGGTGGGAGACTCAAGGCCCTCACTGGGCAGTGCTGACCCTTCCTGTGGTGCAGGGAGCCAGCAGGAGGGGTGGGAAGCCCAGGGGTCAGCTGCTGTGGAAGCTGACTGTTGGGTGGGATCTTTATAATGGCATACAGGGAGCAGGTAGGAAGATGAGTGCTAGCTGTTGGAGTTAGGGAAGGGGTAGAGTGGAAAGGAATAGCCAGGCACAGGGACGGGAAGAACAAGAAGGATTTGGAAGATGGGATAGAAACAGAGTAGAGATGAAATGGTGGGGTGAGTGTCTATAACTCTGGCTGTACACTCAGTTGTGAATTTTTAGTAGAAGTTTTTTAGGAGCCCTAGGTATAGAAAACACTTTATGGAGTAATATCTGTGAAATACTGAATTCAATATTTTTGAAAGCCTGCAGCTCCTGGAAATTGTACTTTGCTACTTCTTAGACTGTAAGAGCGGATACTCTCTGGCTAACCTGCAGGGAACTTCCTTCCTCCCTTTGTAAAGGAAATAAGGATGTGAAGATATGTATCTATGCTGTTGTGTCCCTCCCCACCCCCCTCCCACCCCCTGCTTCTTTGCACTGGTGACTTTATCAGCTTTGCTTCAGGCATCATCTCTTATATTCAACGCCATCAGATAGAAATGAACTAGGAAAAAGAGAAATCCAACTTTTGACTCAAACTCTTGATATATAAATGATGTAACCCAGAATTCAGCATTACTCCTACACAGATCTTTACAGAAGATCGTCAGTCAAGTACCAAAACTGAAGGTCAATGTTTCGCCTTTGAATCATCAGATTAAAAAAAAGTTTTTCAGTGAAGCCTAAACAACAGCACAATCTTACAGTTACATATTGACAGAGAGCCTTCAAGGCAGCTAGATACACATTTGTAGCTATGCTTTTTATATTTTAACTGGAGTTTTTTAATGCTGTGACAAATTTTGAACCATAGAGAGAAGGAGATAGCATGAAGTGTGAACTGTGCTTGACAGTTTAATTAGGAAACCAGCTAGCTGGTCTTGAGTATTTTTTCAGCATGATAATGACCCCTCCTACTGCCTTTACATGTCATTCTTTGCAGGATACTATCATAAGGCCTTTCAGGTAAGTTATAGGATTATTGCCAAGCCAAATCATACATATTTGGCACCTTAGCACTACAGCATTGTAATCTTTTCCCACATCAGCACTTGCAGTGGGAGGAGGGATGGCTGGCGGAGAGGCACTACGGCTGAAAGAGCTGTGGGTCCTGCTATAGCCTGGCTGCAGAGACCTGACAAATCTCTTCACTCTGCCCAAAGAACCTTCTGTCACCAGGGACTCGCTAGAGCGGAGAGGTGGCTGCTCAGGCAGAGGGAGCTCTGCTCAGTCCTGTCCAGCTCTCGGCTGCTCTCAGCCAGCACTACACGGGGCTCCGGTGTACAGCGGCTCCGTGGCGCACAAACTGCACGTTCCCGGGGAAGCGGCCTCACTTACCCTGCTGTGTAACTCAGCCAGCGCAGCAACGGCCCTGCTGCTTCTCGGCAAAAAGGAGACCCATCTTGGTCCCATAGCAAGGCTCCAGTTCAGCTCAAAGAGATAAAACTCATCTTAACAAGGAAATAAAAAGTTGTTCAAAATAATCTCTTCCTTCTGAGAGCAGCCTCTGATTATACAGTAAGTGAGCATAAAAATGGCATTTGCATTCTTAGGAAACAATGCTGGTGCACAGTTTGAAATGTTTCAGATTCAATCTTTGGAAACAATTTGTGTGATTTATTTTGTTTTCCTTCAAGCGGGATTCTGTTTTTCTTCAGGGCTGCTTGGGGTGTGTGGTTTGACACTCAACTTGTCAGTTTAGCGTTGTGAGATTGTGAGTTTTTTGAAGAGGGCACATCTGTGGTTATAGAAGAATAACAAGAAGCATCAGATGTTCAGTGAACAAAAGACCAGAGCTTGGGAGGATCTTAGAAATGACTAGTTAGCAGAGATCACATGTTTTTGACCCAGAGCTGTAGAGGGCTAATGTAAAATCACTTATTTTCGAAAACTCTCTGGAAAAATTATCTTAATAAGGAAACACCTTAACTACATTTCTAGTTGTGAAATTTTATAACAAGCCAAAGATCTTAAGCAGCAAAAATACCTACTTTGCTTTTTTTTTTTTTTAATTTAGTGACAGCCACAGTTCAGAAAAAGAAGAATGTATTCAAAAAAGCTTTTAAGTCAATCAGAGTTTCTAAGCAGTAAAACTACTGCCCTTTTGAGAACAGAGGGAAGTGTTGGGACAGCAGCTTCATCCCCCACATTATTCCTTAAGACCACTTGGGAATAGTTAAGGCTGATGGACATATAACCAATCTTCGTGCAAGAAGTAGTCAGACTGCAGAGGGGTGTAGGCTTAGGCAGGTTTCTGTGTAAAAGTGAACTGGATCTAAAACTTGCCCAAAAATTAACAGCCAGTGGGGTTTGCAACAGTGTATGCCTTTGTTAAAGTGCAATTACTATTCTAGCTTAACCACCTGCATTGTTATCAAAAGACTGTAATATTTTCAAACATTTTTTAATCTTGCTCTCGTATACTGACATGAAATCACCCTCCCTCTTCTGTCTATGCAGATAAAGATACTATACCAATTTAATATTGGTCTCAGTAAAGTATTTCTCATGTATCACATGCTTTGAGACCATGTCTTCAATTTGAAACATCCAGGAGTTTGCACTTCTTGCATAAGAAGTGCAAAAAAGCTAGTAGTCACCTTCAGGAATTCTGTGCTAAAGTGACATTTTAACATTTCAACTGCCAAAGTAACGCACCTTTAACTTGAACTACAGCCAGCCTTGCTGAATCAGTACTAGCCACAGATTTGTAACCATTTATTCTATTTATTACATTAACAAATCAGAAGTGTCTGCAAAAGGTTTTCCCCTGACTGTGGATAGCACTTGCAATACTGAGATGTTTACGGAAAATCCTGCTCAGTGGCAAATCCTGATTAGGAAACGTTATCATTTTTTTGCATAATAGGTGAGATAGACGTGCCTAACATATGGTTGCTATAAAATACCTTAGATGAGTCAGATCTTAGCTGACAGCTGTAAGCAGGGTTGTTCTGGCTTCTTAGATAATACTACCAATTATGATCCTTTTTGTTACTTAACTACTGTACTGTTAAATTATATTAACCTGATTTGTAGACACTCCTGTTTGAGTAGAACAAAAAAGCAAGATTTATGATGTAAATCCTGATCTAAATGTTTGCTGCTTATTAAAGCAGAATCCAAAGTCCTTCAAACTCTCTGTAGTGATGACTAATTCTAACAAAATTGTAGGACTCCCAGGAAGCCTCTGCTGTCCCACTAAGTGTTCAGTGCAGTTACATACACCATGAAATTTAAGAGGCTCAAAATTGCCAGAGATGGCATTGATCTGGCCTGCAGTGGTGCAGGATGTAGCAGTCAGTAGCCCCACTGGCTCTGCGCTCTGATCTTTGCAAGCAGCTCCCACAGGTAATCAGAGCATACAAAAACGTACCGAAGATTTTGCCTTTAAAGTACAGGCTACCAAATCATCCTGGGGCCTTCCAAGGTGGGATTCTGCAGTGGCAAGAGGAGACTGCCTTGGGATCACCTGCGTGTCAGCTCTAGCCTGTTCTTGGAGAGGGCTTCCTTAGAGCTCTTGTCTTGGGGTAACTGCAGGACAGCACAGTAAAGCCAACAAACAGGAGGACATCTGCAGTGTACAGGGGCCACACTCACTGCACTGTTCTGATTGATTAGCCTTCCTAAGTCTAGGACTTTAGTCTACACATTCAGTTCTGGTAGCAAACTCAGTATATTTTTTTTAGAACTCCAGCTTGCACCTTGCTCTACTCTACAGCTGCAAGCAACTAAGGGGGAATGACTAACATTTAATCACACATGTCCTTACATTGCCTCAGTGGCTGATCTGCTTTCACTTGCTTTTTTAAACCAGAGTGTTCAAATGAGAGCTGCCTGAAGATATGGGTTTCCAGCTCCTCCCTGCCCCCCCCTCACCAAATCCCGTTTAGCACCACAAATGCCACAGTTTATGTTTCGCAGCATCTTTCAAGCGTCTCCCAAAGCATTCCACACTCTGTGCAGAGAAGTGGTTCTAAGATGAATAGTCACAAAAAGAAAGCTCTCAAGAGGAAAAGTCTTCAGCAATATTACTTTCTGCCTTTGCTAATGGAAGGCACACCCACTTCCTCTGACTCTAATCAGAGCCCGACTGGCTGTCAGGTGGTAGAGATATGCAGTTGAGAAACAAGAGGTCTTTATAGGTAGATGCCTAGCCCTGCCTTGTATACCATCTGCTGCTAATGGAAACTTAGGACTTGCCAAAAAGAGAAGCTGATTCTGTGCTTTCAATATTTAATGCTCACTGGAAATGACAGTTCAGCATTACCTGCTGCCCCAGTCAGATCAATCTAAACCCCACCCACAGCACTGTGTGTTCGTACGCAATTGCAAAAATAAACAGTAAGTATGGAAAGCTTAGAGGCAAATTGTAGAACGTGAGTGTAACCTCCTGCATGTAATTTCAACATATGGGCATTATTTTTTCCCCTAAACACTGCCACTCAATTTAATTCTTTCGGTTTTAACTCTTACAGGTTAAAAAAATTCTGTTAGAAATAATAGCCATCAAAGTGAACAGTAGGATCAGATTGCTTAGAAACTTAGGGTCTAAGTTTCATAAACTATTACAAATTATTCCAGGGAGAACCAGTCTACTATGGTCGACATTCTGAGTTGACTTTTCTGCTTTCTTTGCCCCACTAGGGACTAAGGGACAGAGGTATTACCACCAGCCACTTCATACCCTGCACTAAGGTAAGATTTGTAGACCCTAAATTTAAGAGCATTGGTTCTCTCTGAAGTAAATTAAGACAGGCAGGTACCTAAGGTTGGATGCCTAAATTTAGAAGGTGTGAATACTGCTTTCCCCTTCTCTCTTCCTTTTTCTTTTCTCTGATGTGTTAGTCCTTTTTTTCTCCAGCAGTTAAAAGGTCAGTTCAGACTTCATGTCCAGCTGAGCTGTTCATTCCCTCTTGCATTTTGTAGAGTCCAGGTTCTCTCAAATTAGGGGAAGAAGGATATTACATGGAACATCAAGATTCACAGAATCGTTATTTCTCCCTAAAACCACAACAGATGTCTCACTTTTAAGCTACTCACTGAGACTGAAGAGTGAAAATACAGGTGACTCTTCTATGTGTAGTGTGGACAAAGCCTTTGAGGCCCCAGATGTATCTCATACATGTACCATGCTCCTTGTCGCATCACTCTTTAAAAGACAGGGTAGATCTAACTTTCCAGTCCTGGGTTTAGACAGCAGCACAGCCCTGTCAGTTATGCTGCCCTAGATTTACTAAGGCACATTTTTGTTTTGATAGTCTTCAATGAAATAAATCAAGCTCTCTTCTGGTTTTAATGTAGAATGTTGTATTACCAGATATAAGCATAACATTTGCCAACTTTAGACAGATGCAGCATAATCTCTGATAATTTACAGGTTACCTTACGACTTTCCTACTTTCCTGAAATGGTGGCTATCAAATGGACCACTCTGAATCCTCTGCTCTCCAAAACCCAATAAAAATCAGCAAGCGTGGTCAATGGGCACAAAGAACCAAAACAGCAGCAGTGAGGGGTTCTGCACTAGGAAGTTCAGTATTACAGAGTGCAGTGCTTACACTGAGAGTATTTACAGGCCTGTGAACTGAACTTTGGTGTGAAAATAGACACAAATGCCTTTTTGCCAGCCTCTTTGGCCAGCATAAAGACTGCTTTGAATAACACTGAAAAAATTTGACTTTCTCTGTATATGTGGTTGTTCTCTTCCTGAGATTACTTCATTGCTACAGAAAACTTGGTAAGAAATCCATACCTGTGCTAGGCAGGGTATGTGTCACACATTCCTCTTTGATGCGGAGAAGCTGCAACAGCATGAAGCAGGCTCTGCTTCAAGCTTTGAACTAAACTGTTCTTCTGTTCTTTACTTAATCCATTATATACATCAGGAAAAAAAAAATCACTGCAGAAGTCTGGTTTTCCCCTATTAAAGAAACATCACACTATATTTGCCCTGCTTATGCCCCATCTACCCTAAGGCCCAGATCCATAATGTCCCTACACAAGTCGGTCTCAGCAGCTCACAAGTCAGTCACAAAAATTTAGCGTGTATGAGATAAGGCTGAAACCACCACTGACCTGAGTGTCATCTGCCCTCATCCGCTCAGCTCACAGAGAAGGAAAGACAGAAAGCACAGCAACAAGGCCACAAGGCAACAATCTGCCTGCAAACAGAAGCAGAATGAGAAGTGGGGGAACGACACCAAAACCAACTGAGTTAAGAAAGAGTGACATCTCTTAAAGGACAGATAGTTGTGACAGAAATTAGCTTTAAGCTCAAAAATGGTGTCTGGATTTGAACATTTCTATGCAGTTAAGCTGTTACAAAACATGCTCATAAGAAAATTACATAAATTAATTTCTGGTACTTCAGTTGTCATCTTTACATACCAGTTAAGACTGACAGTATGAAAGATCCTTTTCAGATGAGTCTACAGCCTTTCTCCCTAGTAATGGGTATATATGCATACTGTCTCCATTTATTTATATGTGTGTTACTCATGTCTAAGGGAGATAAAATCATTAAAGGTAAGTGAAGAATATTTCTTCAGGGCATTTCCAGCATTCTACTGAAGTTTTTTTTTCTGGCCTCATGGAAGGATAAAGGTTATTCTGTTTTCTTAGGGCAAGGAAAAGAATGGGGGAGCTTACCACACAGGAGCTGAAGGAGAGAGACAAAAATTCTGAAAGCTTACTTTTTTGAGCTGCTGAGAAAGACAGTAAAAGCAGCTACACTGAACCCTGATAAAGAGGTCTTTGAGCCCACAACCTATTCATTCTTATTACAAGATCATACATTTCCTACACAGTAGGTGCTGGAGACCAAGCCTAAAAATAACTAAAAAAAAATCACACCACTAAACTGACAGGAAGTGTAAAAACTTTCCAAGTGTGAGCCATCGAACGTAATAAAACACAGTCATATTCCTGATATAAGTATATTTGTAATGCCTTCTAGGTACACTCAGTATAACAAAACTGCTGTGAGGTAATCTTTGTGCCCCAAGGTAAATGTGCATGGAACAGGACAATGGCTTGCTCATCCACAGTGAAGTACTAGCTAAAAATAGAAATGTATTTAACTTCTAAAATCAGAAGCAAATAGATATAAAATCAAGGTTTAAGTTCTGCTCAGAGTATCATACCTATTACTCAGTCTTCTACAGAAGTTTATCTTTTGGTGAGGTTTTGACCCTTCTTTCCGTATGTATCAAGTAAACTTTTTCCATCACGGCCCAAAAACGATGTACCTTCTATCCAGTAACTCTTACGAATTTTATAGTCAGACATGCTCTGATTGCAATGGGCAATTTTTTCCTGTTGCATACTTAGAAAAATGTGTAGCTGTAACTCTGCATTAAAGGTTATCCACATTCTAAATTGTTGCTTTTACAATGTATACTGAACATAACTTCCCATTACAAGGTAAGTTAGGAAAAGTCAAGCATCTCCTAAATAAAGTCTACTGCACAATGAAGCTTCCAGGAAAAAGCTGTATGGCCTTCTTTGCGTTTATTCTGAATGTATGAAGGAACAACACATCAATAAATTAATTAAGTGGAGAGTTCCCTTATGATGTCCAATTACAGAAACAAAACAAAGGAATAAACTTTGTTTTTTCAAATGGAGTCGCTGTGTAGCAGCCCTGGTAAGTGTTGCTTCAGCCTTAATTAGTGCTGGCATTTGCTGCAGACTAAGCACTGTCAGTTACAATTTTCAAGTCTCTCAAAGGACATGTCCTATGAACTGAGAACGATGCAGTAAACCATATTATGGAATCATTAAGAATCACCAGTGGATTAGTTTTAAACTGCAATTTATAATCAGTTACTGCCAGAAGCAAGCCCAAAGACACTCAGTCTAAACAACACGACTCTTTGAAACTAAATGACTACTGAAAGCCAAAAATTTTTAGTTATTAAAATATATTTTAAAGTCCAAATTATTAACAGAATCTGTTTAAAAATAACTTTTACATAAGTTTGTCAGAAGCAGCAAGAGAAACAGGCTATAACTCAGACATCTTTGTGTACTGTCACAGTCATTCTTAAAGTTACTACTCCATGCATTGGGGCAACCGGAAAAATGTCAGCAGCACTGTTCTTAACACTCCAGGCTAATATTCTTTCCCCCTCCTTTCCCTAATTCCTGGGGACAAACTGAAAGTTTCCAAACTAAGAAAAAAACAAATCCAAATTCCTTTCTACTGCTTTTAAACACACAGTTTTCAATGGTAACTTGTCTTCGTGCATACCTTGAACAACTGCTGTTATAGGCAGCTTTTCCACAAGACTTCAAAATTCTTACCCATAGCAAGGAAATGAAAAAGCAGAAGTGCAAGTAGTACAATTCATACTAAACTATATTTTTCATTTTAAAAAAGTTCAAACAATTGAAGGTATTCTTTTATTCTCTGTGCAACTATTTCAGGTGGTAGGAGATGTTAAGATGATCATTATTCTGTGGGGAACAAAGGATTGAGATCAGTAATGTTAATACACTAATTAATACCATAACTCTGTTTTCATTGAATCAATTGAATATGATCAAAATAAATAAGGTATTTGCTCTAAATTTTTTGGCCTACCCAGAATGCAATGTTGTCTCAACATTAAGAAAAAAATACATATCTCTCGACTCCATTTTATGTCACAAAGACTGAACAAAACAATTTAATTGTAATAATTAAAAAAACCCTGCTGAGCCTTGGCTGTTGTAGCCACACAGAATTTACTTTTTTTTAATAAATTATGGTAGTAAAAATTCCTCTCAAAATTGCAGTAAACCACTACATATTATCAAAAGATTAATGTGATAAGTAAGCAGCTGGCATTTACTGTAAGTGACAAAATGATGACACTCATTTCCATACCATATATATTTCTTTACTTTAAAATGTGCTTCACACATTTTCTACTCTGGCTGATACAATCTATAGTTACTGTGCATACTTACAAAATGCTGAAAATAAAAACCAGTGTTAACTGCCTTGGTTTTATGACACACAAAGTAGCTTAAAACTGACTGACCATTCAAGTCGTCAGTCCATTCTAAATATTCTTGTTAAACTTTCCAAATCTTCATTTTTGAAATGCAGTTCTTCCAGCAACGTGGTCAGGAACTGTGTGTACACTGGGCTCGTCTGAGTATTCTTGAAAAGTGGAGTAGTTTGTGACAATCTGGAAAAAAACCAAACATATTTCATACAGAAAAGCAATTTTTCAGTGTCTGACGTAAAAAAGCAAGCAAAGCTTGTGTGTTCAAACAATGGTATTGAAGAAAGGCAGTGTATACTGTCACACTTGATTAATTACAAAATATAATGGACTGTATGTGTTATATAAAATGTGATCCACACCAAAATATGATTTTTTATTAAGATGTAGTGGAAAAAAAAAAACCTAATTAGAAAAAAATGAGTGAATAGTTTGTATGCCTCTAACTGGTGTATACTGCTGTTATTTAATGTAGATAAATAAAATTCAGAATGAACAAAGTGCAAAACATTATACAATTATACATAAAAAAGGAAAGATCTCGGTCATTATTTTCTTCTTTACCAAAAAATCTCCTAAACAATCATACAGTAAAAGCTATATACCTCTTTGCATGAGTAAAATATAAAAGAACCATAAAATTCTGTTTAAAATAACCAAGAATAATATTTATAGTCACACACTGTCAAAGTTCATAAAGACTTTCAAGAAGGTCACTTCCTCAGCCAATTTTCCCCTGCTCTGTGTGCCATAAACCACAACTTAAGAGTAGCAAACCCATTTTGCTTTGTGCCAAGATTTCTCCAAACACAGAGAGGCCTCCCATAGAGGCATTTTGGATTATTACTTATTTTACTTGATGCACATGGGCACAAGACATCAATTAAATTCTCAAACCAAGGAACAATTTGAGTGAGTAATGAGAGCAATCTGATTTCTTAGTTTTGACACTCTGTACCTTAAAGCAGTTTAATTGAGAGGTCGGGCAGTTAGAACAGAGCTGGTAGAACAGAGCCCTCCTCACAGGTTGGAGGTTGGTTTTTGCATTATGACGCTTTGTCAGTGGGGGAGCAGAGGAAGTGCTGATAGAGGATCAGAGTAACCATTTCAGAGTGTTAGTTTGGAGACAAGGATAGTGAGAGAAACACCCAGAGATGCATTACTGGTAGTCTTCAATTCACCCTTCTTAGAATTAAGTAGACTGTATATGAAAAAAGACTGGTGGCAGAAACAGTCATGACTTCCTGAGTGCTGGTGCCAGGCAGCTGCAGCATTGTCAACCACTCTCTTGGCAATGATGTAGATTTACATGCATTTTTATCTGAATTTTCTTACTCCTGCCATGGGTTTAAGAAGATGTTAACAAGGACATTATTTTTCAAAAAGAGGAGAAAACTTGTGCAGCTTTAAGTAATACTCTAAAACTAAAATCTTTATACAGTGAAGCTCACACAATTTTTTTTGTACTGCAGTTTGTAGTATTACATAGTTTCATGAATTACAAACATATCCTAATGTTAAACCCTGTTTAAGACACTCTGTTTAAGGAATAGCTACTATAGCTCACACCAAGAAAGAAAGAAAAATTGTTAGGAAAATTACCAGGCATTAAATATTGAGAAAGGGAAGTTAAAAAAAGAAGACATTTTAGCTGTGGATCAATTTTTTTCCTTACCTGAGCTTTGTTTAAAAACTAATTAAATCACTAATTATCTGATAAGCAGGAGACTAAATCAACAAGTAACTTCAGAGAGGCATGTACAAGTTTCTAGCAATTAGCTAAAAGTTGCGTCTTGATGGGAGAAAGTGTTAAACATTTATGAATGTATGTGCAAACACTTTACTCTTGGAAAACTGTCCTTTTGGTCTAACTTGTAATTTGAAAAGCAGTTATTGTTGAGTACTTTTCTACTTTTAAGTGGATGTTAGAGCAGAAGCAGAAGCTTTTGTCTGCAAGAGGAGCAAGCACGAGTTGCTTATTTGCATCAAGAGGTAAGTCACATGTTCTAAGTAACACCAGTCCAATGTATATTTGAGATACTGCAAAACAGAGCATTGAGGGGCTGTTTAACTGATATAAACCTTAATTGTATGCAAACAAGCCAGAACAGCATTTGGGATCAGTATCTTCAAGTCACTGAAAGCTACTATGACCCTATGTCTGAAGAAACTATCACGACTAATTCAATTTAATGATATACAGGATTTCAGTTCAAAGATCATAGAATTCCCTTGAAACTCTGCAGCATCTTCAAAAGACATAGAATATAAACAGGAAACGGGATACTCTGGACCACAATAAAAACAACAACTGGCTTCTGCAAGAATGAAAAGAAAAATATAAGTTTTGATTTTCTGTTACTTCTTTCACATATTGCAACATTCATCTGGAACAGACTTTTGTGAATAAAGTAAAATAAAAATAAGAAAAGCTAAAAGATGAAGTGATTTTAAAATAACCACCTACAGAATTACACAAATATAAATGTTACAGTCCAAAATCATACACCCATTCTTCAAAGGCTCACCTTCAGCACACCCGTTAAAAGGAAATGTTCATGCTCAGCTCATGGAAAAGTAGTATATCAGAGTTGATGAAAGTGTCGTTTCCTGCACACCCACTTACACCATATGGTAAACAGGTATTTGTAAAGATTAAAAAGTGTTAAAAATGTCAAACTATATCTGATTGATAAAATTTGTATTTGCTGGCTATTCCACATATGTTATATGTTCAAGAAAAAAACCACAAAAGTGAAATTCATGTGAAGACCAAGCAATTATCATCAAGCTATTAAATGACATCTGGCTACCACAAAACGTTTACATAGTTTCAGTGCTTCAACTCAAGACCCAAGCTTTCTGTGAATTACTTGCCTTACAAAAACGTTTGACAAGTATATTTTTAAGATCATCATAACCAGGATGACTGGTAACTACTCTTCTATTAGAATGATGGAGCTGAACTAATGAAGGATCACAAAGTCTCCTGAACACTTGTTTCAGAACATGGAAATGAAGGAGGATATGGCAGCAAATACAGGCAGCAGTTTTTTCCCCTTCTCCAACAAAAACACACACAGAGGCACAGATTACTTCATACGTGCTACAAGGGTGCCAACAAGCCTCTGATCGAGGTGCAATCAATAGACTCTTGCAACAGGTCCCTACCTGAAAGGAAGACCAATGCATTTGTGCTCTGTTTCGACAGCTACAAATCGGACTATGGCTATGAGCAATCTATTCCTCTCACTCTGTGCAAGCATTTCAGCTGAAGATCTGGTAATATGTACTATGTACACTTAACAAAAAGTCCTTACAAGCCTCCACTATCATTTCAGGTGATTCACCACAGCTACTGAAGATTCTAGGAGATCAATCAGCCATTCCAGCAATGTGCCATTAGCACGACTCCAAGGCACTTTTGCTTCACGGCTATGACAAAGTCACGTCACATTGCTGACAAGGACTGAGCCAGGAGAAACACATGACAAAACCAAACTGTGCAGGAGACACTCTGTGAAGTGCCAGGGATCATTACCTGACAGCTACTACAATAAAGCATTAAACAGAATCCTGTCTGAATAGAAAAACTCTTTATACTAAAAGTCTGCCAATATTCAGACACAAATGAAAAACATTTTAATGGAAACTCTACATCAAAGTGTGTTTCTGGGATCTGGTAAGGACTTAGTCAGTCCTTACCACGCTTTTTCTGTGTGTGTGATCAAATGGCTCTGAAAGAAGAGCAGCTTATTGAAGTCTAAGTCTGTAATTCAAAAGCAGGGAATAGCACCATCATGTGGGTCACAGATAATGGAAATTAATTTCTATTCAAAACTCACACTTCCATGGCTATTATGAGTCAATTCTAGATTTGAAAAAACAAAGTCATGAATGTAGGACAGCCCATCTTTGTGAATAATTAATTGATACTTAGAAGGACTAAGCTAAAAGGCCATCAACCCACAAGACTTCCAGCTTTCTCCCTCTACATATTTTTTTATAAACAGTTGGGACAGTATTCCCTATACATCAACTGCTTTTCATATTTACCATTAACATACTCTTCTTCCCAGCTCTGTATTTTGAGTTGAAATCACTAAGGAAATTGTCTCCAATTGCTTCTACAAGGTATAAAGCAATTGTTTTGTTTAAGACAAATGGTCAGACAGAGTCAATACAACACGTTACACATCAGCAATAAAACTCATTGAAAGAGATGTGCACTCCAGCTCATAGACCATCTGCCTGTACATACAACTGTAGCGTTGCCATGTACCAACCACTTGCTGTGTTTATCCATCTCATGAATCCCTGCCCAAAGGCACTCAGACATTTTGACAGAGTAAGTCAAAGCATCACTGTAATTTTGAATGTTCTTCACAATACACTGACTGCCTGCTTAGAGTCTCTCACTTCCAGTATCTCACTGGATACAGTATGTTTGTCTAGAGACAGCAATCTTGTTAGTAACGTATCTTAAATCACAGCAGGATTTCCACAGACCTTAAAGCATGATGCATCCCTAAGGCCAGAGTTACTATCAGACAGAAGGCTGATCTGAAGCATGTGAGTGTAGCTGTAAGTTAAAGATGCAACACCAGGGAGCTTAAAAAAATTATAAACTTTGTTATAATTAAGTGGTTACAATTGACACTGTTTTAACCCATGCTCAGAAATTAGAAAATATGACAGCCTCAACTCAGCAGTTATGTTCACAGTTTCAGTGAAAAAACCTCCACTTGTTTCTAATAACTTTAGTTTGAGCATCATTGAAAAATCTCAACATTAAAACACCCCAAACCGTTAAAAGCAAAAGACCGTCTCTAGAGTGAACATTTTCCATTAGTACACATTAATATTTGACAGACAAGCTTGAACTGGAAGCATCTAACTTACAAACAAGATGCAAAAGTACTTAAATATATCTTAGGAATTAAGCTTTTTAAATTAAACTATACTAGGACTGAAAAAAAGTAATTATGATCAGTGTCATTTGCAACTCTGAAATTTAAGCACCTTCTATTCTGGGGCCTTTTGTTACCATATCCAATGGGTCAAAGAGGAAATCAGTATTCAGGGGCAATTTTCTTTAATCTCCCCCCATTTATTCCTGTATTATATTCTCTTAATAAAAGATAAAACACTCTGAAGTCCATGGTGTTGAATGGTAACAACTGGCAGAAATAAACATATTTTCTTACTGAGATAAAAAAACCTCTTCTGGTCTAGTTTTAAATATAGCCTGAAGATCCTATTCTCATCATAAAGACAAGAATTTTGTAACTGAAGTGCAACTTATGTTTTATTTATTATTTAACTTCCTTTCATTATTGTGTACTGACTTGTCCACAGAATCCAGCACAGGCACTTTAATTCTCCAATGGCAACAGAAACTAAATTATTAATAGTTTAAAATTTTTGTCCACTACACTCAAATCAATGCTAAAAACATTGATTCAAAATCAACGACTGGAATTCCTACATAATCCAAGTATATGGCAAAAATTAAGGTTCATTCAAAAGTTAACTTTGTTAATTGTTTCCACTATCTTCATTTTTTCCTATGCAGCTTCTACAAGTCCGCTCAATAAAAATGATCTTTGATACGTTTATGCATATACTTACACAAAATATATATTTTCTTCATTTAAATTTCACTTTCCACACACATTTTTCATATAGTTGGTGTCCAGACACAAGTCAACTTGTGGGGGCCAAATGGGGCCAAAACTTTACTTGTGGTGTAGCCAGATGGACACAACTAACAGTAAAAGGAAAGCATTCCTACAGTAACAAGAGTTTATCTAACTACTTGATAGGAGTGCTTGCTAACAACTAAAAAAGAGACAATCACTTGCTTTTCTTTCTTTCCCTTCCCCCCTGCCCCAGTGAGTTATGTGTATCCAAACAGGCAACTCGCAGTTCAGAGAACAGTCTGAGACTGCACCTGAAGCCGCACCAGCCCACACCCCACAGCTCCCTGGGATGGTGCTTGGGGCCAGGCCCTTGGGGCCAGGCTGTGCAGCAGTTCCCTCCAGTCACATCATGTTCATGTGGGCTTTGGAGGCCGAGTGAACATTTGCAAAATACTGTGCAAGTTCTACCCTACCACATGAGAGCTTGTTTTATGTCTTTCCCTTCATAGGAGAGTCCAGTTATTGTTTTTCCATTAAACTCATAAGGACATTTTTTGAAGGCATTTCAATGTTTTAACTGTACTGTGCAGGAGAGAAGAGTTGAGGCAACAGGTTTATAGCTACCTTATCAGGTACAGAAACTGTTCCTTTAAAATGGATTTAATAAAACACAAATGTTCTGGATCTTTGTAATTTTTTAACCTAACAAACAAGCTATTTGCATGAGTAGTAGGATATATTGTTTATGCCACTTTCTTCCTCTCCCTTGAAAGTTATGGATTACTCCATCAGCTGCCAGCTGTTATTTGTAATAGCCAGCTGTGTAACTACAAAGGTCCTGCAATGAAAAAATTTTATAATAATGTTGCATCGATACAACAAGATACAGAAAAGGAAAAAAAAAATCAATTAAATTGTCCTCAATATATTAACTTCTGTAAGATAAATGACCCTTGACTTTCAATGTAGGACAAATTAAAAACTTTCCCATATATAAAAGAAATTTCTATTTTCATCATTAGGTCAGTAATTAATTTTACAGGCAAAGTAAAAGTCTAATGCAAATGAACACTCAAGTCTTAAAATCAGTAATGTGTTTAAGGAAACCACAGTGACACATACATGGTGTGACATTCAGTACAGCCATTTAGTGCTATTTGTGTCAGATCTGTACATTGTACATTGTATACTTGAAGGCAAAATGCCTTCAAATGTACACTCTCTATATAAATAACTACAAAAAAAATTTAAAATGTCTCAAAAATTAGATAAACATCTGAAACTTTCAGTTAATGTAACTCATACTATTTTACCACAACATAATTATATAATACAATTCAATTCTTCTCAGAAAGTAACTAGCAAATGGCGTTTCTCACTACTCCCATATTTCATCTCCCTGTCCGTGACCAGTAGCACAAACAATAGCAACAATTTCTATTCAGCTGAGAGAGAATTTAGAACTCAATTGCTTTGTACAACTATTTTAGTCTCTGCAATTGCAAGCATCAACTATTTTTTTTTCCCCACACAGTATCACTCCTATAATGTTCTTTCCAAGCAAGTGTTGTGACCTTATATATGCACACACAGAACAAAGTCAGTTCCCTTGGCACTTGTCCAGGAAAGGAACTACACATTTCAGAACGTTCAGCAGGTGGAAAATGACGTCACGTTCCCTACAAGCATTTGCCAGCATTATGCTAAACATGTAACACTAAATAGTTGGCTTAAGTAGTCAGGGATCACTGTTTTTAACTCAGGCTTAGCCTGTCTAATGAGAAAGATGACAGCTAACACTCTGGAAATATTTTGCTGTCATGCCAGTGACAAAAATTCCAGGACCTATGACTCCTTTAAAGTCCCAGTAATAATATGTAATGCCTCAATTTGCCTCCTGATAGTGATATTTAAGAACTCTATTTTCAAAGACTTACTTATTTTTAAATGACTACCAGGACTGCCATCAACAGAAATATCATACAGGTCGGGTAAAAAGCAATTACTTGGGTAATTATATGCCAAATAGCATTTCCAGGTTTCTTTAACAGTGGAGTAGAAACACCTTGAGAGGACTAAGGAAGCACCAAAATCAGCTCCAAGACATCTATGGTTTCTTATCCAGAATTCTCTTCTACAAAGTTCAGCTGGATCAGACTCTGTTTCACCATTTTGTATTAACAGATATGACTGCAGGATGATTTTCTAAAAAACAAATAGAGTAGGTACCCACATCTATATTACCATATTCCAAATTATGACTACAACATTATTTCACAGACACAAAGGATTAGAACATTTATAATACTGCATCTGATTTAAAGCACTTGCATTCATAAAGAGATTTGTTCCAAGAAGTTTCAGTTTAGCTTACTTGTCATCATAATGCCAAGGCAAAAAAAAGTTCACAATTTCAACCCAGAAGAAATCACTATCAGCTGTTTCTCTCTAACAAATCTAAGTTTCTTAGGTACACATTTCAAGGACAGGCTTTGTTTAAAGAGCTCTATTTATTTGAAGTCTGTTTCCTGCTAACCAGCTGACAGATCAAAGGTACTTCTCAGTCCTATCATTTGTTCCCATTTCCCCCTCTTCTTTAACTTAGACAAAATTTTAAATTTAGTATCTTTAAAATTAATTTTAAAATTGATCTTTTCAGCCTTCTCAGTCTTCTTTTCCTTTTTTTTATGCTCCAAGAAGTTTTCCTGTGACACTTCTCAAATACTGGAATATATGCCACTGAAGTATTTAGTTACATGAAATTAAGGACAGGTATAAGTCTCTGATTAAAGAATGCTAAATTGCAAGCTTCTGAGAGCCTGAATCTTTTAAGTACTTTGTAAAATACACACTGTTTTATAGATTATTGTGCACATAAAGTGGGACAATTTAATATCTAAAAGATGCTTTTATATTCAAACATGGTACATTGTATGAATTAAACATTGTTTAATATACTTTCACTTTTGCAACTGCTCAACTTTTTTGCTTCCACATATGAGTATTCTATTCCTATCAATTCATTATCTCAGTGATATGTAAAAAAAATAAATTCAAAAAAGACAAAATAAAATATAGTGACCTACAGTTAAAGCAGCTACAATGCAATATGCTTAGATAAACAATGTCAATACTTGACTTTATACAATGTACTCACCTGTTCTCAGTTACTAGGGAAACAATGATCGTAAAATTGATCACAGTTTGGTTTCACAAGTTTCTAACATTGTAACTTGATTACAGTCCAGGATACAGATCAAACACCTGGAACAATGCAGCTGAGTAAAGAGACATGCTAGGAATAGACTTGCTTCCACTGTGTCCAAATTATTTTTTATTCACAAGTTAAACATAATGACCTCAATACTTCTCTACTTGCCTTTCCCAGTTTTGAAAACAAATGCCAGCGTCGTTTTGGACCTCTCAAAATGAGATTCTTAGAAATCCCCAGAAATTACAGATTCTTAAGCATCTTTTCCCACACACGTCAGCACACAGTAGGTTTAAAAAAACCAAACAAATCAAACCCAGAAACTCCCAAACTCTTTTCCTGTTTAATTGTTTTATTTCCAAATCTATTCCTGACTTGATGATTCCTAGTAAATCACTTTTCTACGCTTAATCTTAATCTTACCATATCTACAGCAGATGAGTACTAGTAATGCTGACTTGTGAAAGTACACTGACCTAAACACACCCCTGAAAGCAGCAGAATATGTGATGAGGTTGGGAAAAAATATGAAGAGCCAGAGGAACCTCAACTATTCGATAACTTTTTAAAAACCCAAATACCTTATCGCAAAAATACTGAGTTTTATGATGAATGAAATCTATTCAGTGTGTTAAGACGTTAAGATGGACAGAAGGTGGAAGGGAGAGAGTGATATATGCACTTCTGTGGAATGTAGGCTGTGTGGTACACAAAATGGAATGAAACATGCTGAGATCTCAAGCCTCTAAACAACCAAGCATCTGTACAGCTTTTGCACTGATGCTGGTTTTGCACTGAATAGTCCATATACACTTTGCAGTTTCTGGACTAAGCTCCCAGATACTGGTTAGCTGTGTTTGCTACCAGCCAGTTAAAGCACACTTTTACTTTTGGGGAGGAATTGGAAGAGAAGAACATGTACTGCTGTGGATGTGACTGTTCTAGTTTCTTTGTATTGTTTCACGCAAAATTTTATGAGGCTATAGTTATTTTATATTTATACAACATTTGGGTTAATTGATGGTTGCAGTCTTCTTATCCCAAGTATTTACTTTAATTATTCACATTGTGTCAAAAAGAGCCACATGCCCTGATGCTAAACTCGATAGCTTGGATTGCCTGTGAATTCTGAGAACTTTCTCATAGCCCATTGCCTAGAGAAACACTTCATGCATCATCTTCTTCTCAGTGACACATATTTCCTTCCTTCCCCAAAGAAGCTGTATTTTCTGCTTTCATAAATATGAAAGGAAAGCATTTCAGAAAATACTGTACATTTTTGTCTTCACTGTTAAGATCCTACTTCAGGTCAGAACTTAATTGCCAGACTAGATGAGTGTCACTGGGTGTCACAATGTTTTTATATCTCAAAAAGTAACATGAGAAATAATGAGAAGTAGTATGAACTGCCTTTGTATTTGATTCTTACAGTATTAGGACACAAAACCAGGTCTCCAGTTCATCAGTGTACTGCCCACTATCAATTATCATATAAAAATAATTTGCCTCCTCTCTGAGTTAATCTCCTCCCCCCCCCAAATTTTCATGCCTCTGAGTAATTTTTAGTTTATTTCTGGTCACTGTAGAATATTATGGGACCAGTAATGTTCTCCAATATAACATTCTTGATATGAAAGCAAATAAAACGCATGTCTCTATTTCCCCCAGCTGACACAGACCTTCAATATGTGGGTCTTCGGGTAGGTTGTGGACCACTGTTGATCCAAGCAAATTACAACAGCTCAATTATTCAACTATTTTTCTAAGACATAATTAATTCTTAAAGGTTTTTAAGGTCTTCATGGTTTTTAATCACTTTTAGGATTCTTCCTCCTTAAAAACCATTACACACTTAATGTAAGTTAGGCAAAAATATTGTCTGCTATGTCAGGTCTGACATGTTCAACAGCAATATAACAAAGGAAACTAGAATCTCTGGAATGAAATAATGCCTTTCTAGACAGCCTGTCTTACTGTTTAGTGTTACAACATTTTACATTCCATAATCTACATCAAGCAGTATAAGAGAGAAATTATTGGCTCTTCAAACAATACTGCTCTTTCACAGGGATTTTTTACAATCAAAGTTTTTCTCTTATAGTGGTTTTTCTCTTATAGAGTTAAGGAATACAATACTTCTACCTTG